GACAAGGGGTAGGGATGTATTTTTCAATGAGAACTGACATCCGTTGAATGCATGTCGTCTGGATTTTTTTTAAATTTATTGTTAACGGCAAAAAATTCTTATATATATGTGTGCGGGAAATATATAGGAAATAGAAAAGAACTCTTATGGATTCGACTGAATTCGAACTCGGCTCTGCGATTCCTCAATATATATATATATATATATATATATATATATATATATATATATATATATATATATATATATATATATATATATATATATATATATATATATATATATATATATATATATATATATATATATATATATATATAAGGAGGCACGGGGGGGAGCAGAGGATAGCGGCTTGGATTGAGGAATCGCAGAGCTGAGTTCGAATTCAAGTCGAATCCATTACATTCACTTACGTGCTAATACCTTTGGGAAAGGTATGTATACTCTTCATCTCCCTCCAGCTATGGGTAAAATAGCAGGACAGACTGGGTTCTATAGCCTTGGATGGCAACTGGTCTAGGGAGAAGGACAACTCTGAATTCAAAACCTGCGGAGGGTCGTTTGGGAACCTTGTGGCATGCATTCGGTGCACCAGGTTTCTGTATTCGTCCCTCCAAAAAGTGTGGCTGGTCCTGCACGAGGCCTACACCACTATAAACAAATCTCATGTGCCGGTGTCGGGATGTCGGTTTCCTGGGACTTATCGGCCTGACCTCATACGTCGAACGCGACGTGAGAGTCGATATATATATATATATATATATATATATATATATATATATATATATGTAATTCGTACAAATATATATATTATATATATATATATATATATATATATATATATATACATACATATATATATATATATATAAAATAATTTCCTATGGAAGATTAAAAACACTGTTAAAAATCGCTACACAATGGATTTCGTGTTTCGGAAAGCTCTACTCTGTATTGAACCCATTTTTTAAATGAAATGGTAGTGGAATTATAGACTATTTGTTCTTTTCCTATTGAACAAGTGTATTGAAATAACAGATATATACAAAGCTACAGTGTTAGTAATAAGCAAATAGAGGTGTAAGTTCTACCTGTATTCTATCCTCTTTATTTTATGTATATATATATATATATATATATATATATATATATATATATATATTAATACAAATATGAGTTTCGTAGAAGGATTTTCAAGGAATAACTCCGTCCACTTGTCAGAGGTTATCAGCAATTGACTGTCTTTGGTGCGAGGTTGATTTTTCGTTTCATAGTGTGCGTGTGTGTGATTGTGTGTACGTGTGTGTATGTATGTGTATTCCTGCGAGTGCGTACGTGTAAAATTCTTGTCTCTTATTTGGCTTTATAGTTTTTCTCTTTTTTTCACTTTCAGCCATTTTGACATCCGTTTTTCCAGCCATTTACCACTGTTTTTGTAAAATATCTGACAATACAAGGTGCGATGAATAAATTGTCGCCATTATATATATTTTTATTTCGCACATGCACGTTGCAAGTTTTTGATTTTGTCGACGGCACAGTATAGTCGGTACAGTTAGGCACCGTCTGTGATAAAAATGAGCACTATGACGCAAAGCAATCCGCCAAAAATTTGGTAACGGCATGTAGTACCGCTTGTTATTCGCATAGGAACCTCCAACACATACATTTCGGAGTGTTTCAGTGTCAATCCGAGGACAATGTAAAGGATTAGGAAAGAGTTGGACGAGTCTAATGGTGATTACGAAAGTGTGGCAGCTAGAAAAATTACTCTGATAGTTCTGATGAGAAAAGAACTCCCTAATTTATTGGTAAGGGCCTGAAACTTATATGTATATAATCAGAAATTATGTTTTCGAGTTTGAATAGACACCCTGTATTTTATTTTAACGTCCACGAATGGCAAGTATTAGGCAAAATAGCTTAGTTGTTAGAGCGTTAGACTGAATATGGACATGCCTTTGTGTTAATTATGACAGCCTACTTGAATAGTAGTGTTTTTACACTCATAACTTAACTTTTCTCATCTTTGTTAAACAAGTTTACTTCAATATCCCTGTTTCTTTTTATGTGTCATGTCCTTTCATGATGTAGGCGATTATGGCTCTCCATCTCTCTCTATCCCTTGCAGCTCTCAACAAGTTCATTCCTTCTGCTTGCTCTCCCAGATCACCTTTTTCCATCCATCTGCTCAATCCCGCCACGTATGTCACACGCTGCTTTCCTTCGTCTCTCTGTTTGACCCGTGAGTATCAGATTCTTAAGGCAATCTTTCCTCATCACGTGTCCTAAAAACTCCTTGATGTTAAGCATGAAGCTCCTCTTTGTCGGCATCCGCTCCAAGAACTCATCGTTGCACACAGGCTCGGTCCACACAATCCCCAGTATTGCCCCAAGTCTCTTCATCATCCTTGATGAAATCGTCCTGCATTCACTGCCGTAAAGCAGGACAGATGTCACATAAGAACTCAGTATTCTTTTCTTCGTTACCAAATAAATCCTCCTATCTCGCAGTACTCTGCCTAGCTTTTGGAATGCGTCCTTAGCCATCCCAATAAGTCTACAGATCTCAGTGTCGCACTTACCAGCTTCCCAGATAATTGAACTTCCGCGACTGCTTGATTCTAGTGTTCCCGACCCTCAAATCGCATTTAGGGCTCATCCTCTTACTGATGACCATGCATTCTGTCTTCTTGTAGTTTGTACTTAGTCCTTTCTTCTCACTCTCCGTCGCTACCTTCTGTAGAAGATTTCGTAATTTCTTTTCCGTGTCTGCTATCATTACTGTGTCATCTGTGTATCTTATGTTGTCGAGATTGTAGCCGCGGTAGGGTTTCCAATTCTCTGCCTAGCTGTATAGGTTGAACAGGTCCGGTGAGAAGACCCATCCTTGCCTTACACCCACTTCTATTTTTGTCTATTCACTTAACTCATTCCCTGTGTGCATGCATGCTGTTTTCCTGCCAGTGTAGGTTCTTGATTAGTCTGATATCTTTCCCGAATATATCAACATTGCTGAGCAGTTCCAGCATACACATTTGTAAATCTACCATCCGTCCGTGCATTGAATACTGCTGCTCTTTTTAGTCTGGTGTTCTTGTTATATACCCCTAGATTCACAACAAAATCCAAAGAAGAGTTTGTAATAATATCAGTCCTGACTTGGCATCTCGACTTCAGACACTTTCCCCATCGCCATAACATGGCCTCCCTTAGTCTTTTCTATAAATATTTCCCTGGCAATTGTTCTAAAGAGCTCTCCTCCTTGGTACCTATACCGCATGAAGTGCACTACTAGATTGGTAATTCGGTCTCATCATTTTACTACTGAAATATTTAGATGTAACCGTAAGTCCTATTCCAATATTTTCTTTACTCGCACTTCTTACCTGTGAAACTCAACTCGGGTTTCCCACATCCCATTTTCAAAAATTTAAATGCAATATCAAACGCCATTTTCTGTCTTTCTGAACTCGGTTTTTATTGTCATGTCTTCACACTAACGTCTTCTCATTTTATTTCACTCTCGGTAACCTCTTGCATCTTAGCGGAATTATCGCCTTAATTGGGGCAAAATTATTTTAAAAAATCTAAGAAATCTGGACTGAACCGAAATCATTCAGTTGGGAAAGCAATACACTGAAGATCCTTGAAATGATTTCAGGTTTTGGCATTCGCGCTAAAATTTGATATATCTATATTTCATGCTGTAAATTAGATCTTCCGTTATTTGTATAAAAGCAAATATTATTTAAATGAAATACTCCTTTATATATACATTATAAAAGCCTAAGCTCTTTTCCTCTATGTATTTATCCCATCTTGTAGTTAAATAAGCTAAAAATGTTAGAGAATGATAAATTATAGTTAATAACACTATACTCGTTGCGTAAATGTGTACAGCCATATACAACCGAACGAGAAACAACTAAATGTTTTATAAACGTAAACAATGAAAATGATGCATATTCGCTATGTTTGTATTTTATAATACGATATTAATATGTGAATATTATATGCATTATTATTGGATACATTTAAATAAAACACCAATTTTATCAAAATCGTGTTTATTTTAGAGTACAAGGATATATAGTTTGATCAACGTAATAGCAAGGGACAGCAGTCCATACGATAGATATATATCTTATCTATGATGCAACCCTCTTAAAATTAGCTTGAAAATTAGGTCGTCAAATGTTGCACTATACGGCAGTATATACGGTGAGTTATTGATAAAATCCAAAGAACCTGTAAATGTTATCGGTTCTAAAACAATGGATACGACTGATTGGTCCGGAAAAGTTATTTTAGCCTTGGCGACATAAATCTTTTAACTGTTTGTTTTTACCATTTTTAGAATGGGGTTTTGGCTCACATGGGGTTTCAAAGTGATCGCATTTAGTTTGGAAGTTATAAGGGAAAGTCAGAAAAAGCGTGTACGCGTGTAGGGGACGTTAATTTACGGTGACCTTTCTTTTGATGAAAGTTTTTAGACACCGGGGAAGTCCACGTTATGATTGTCTCTCTTCTTTCCGTCCGAATTTTGGCGTCGAGTCATGTGATCTGCCAGACCGGATAAGAGAGTGCAAAGGAAGTGAATAAGGAATTCCATTTTGTTTCTCTGACGGTAGACGGACGAATGAAACATTTTAACAAGCTCGTATCACGCGTCTTCGGCGGACATGTAAACGAAAAGTAAAGGAATAATCTCAGTTAGACGGCCGACTGTTTTAACTTTAAGCGGACAATAAATTTGTAAACCATCGGCAGGGAGCTGAAAGCATATTCCATTTTTACCACTCGATGAGGCCGAAACGCATTGTGGGTAGCCGGAAAAAAAATCTCTCTCTCTCTCTCTCTCTTTTTCTTTGGCTCATTCATCGTGGCTAATGTTCAATGAGGCAATTCAGAGTTAAGAGTTCGATTCTTACTTGGTGTCCCTATACAAATTCTATATATCAAAGAAATCACAAAGGATTCAAATAACAGAAGAGCTGACAGTCACATCACGTTGAAACACCGGTTCCCGTACGATTACAAAAGTTAAGCAACCTCCACCTGGTCAGTCCGTCGATGGGTGACCGCTTAGGAATCCCAGGTGTGGTAAGATTGGATGCTCGGGTGGCATAGCTTACAGGCATATCACGTTTAAACACCGGTTTAAATTTGATGACAAAAGTTAAGCAATGTCGAGCCTGGTCAGTCCCTCGATGGGTTGGCAGCATTAGGAATACCGGGTGTTATAAGTTTCGGTGTGAGGGTGGCATGGCTTAAGGCCATATCACGTTCAGACGTGATCCCATACGATCACCGAAGTTAAGCAACGTCGAGCCTGGTCAGTCCCTCGATGGGTTGGCAGCATTAGGAATACAAGGTGTTATAAGCTTGGGTCTTAAGGCCATATGATGTTGGAACACCGGTTTTCGTACGATCATAGAAGTTAAGCAAAGTCGAGCCTGTTTGGGTGACCGCTTGAAATATTAGATGCTGGGGTATGAGTTCATATCATGTTGAAATGGGTTCCCTGCACATTGTGGGGGTCGAGTATTGCATGACTTAAGTTGGATGAAATGTAAAATGTTGTTAAAAGTTGAGTTCTAATTCCAATTGGTTCATTATATTCACTTACGCGCAAATACCCTTGAGAAGGGCATGAATCTATTCCTCCCAGCTATGGGTTAATTAGTAAAGCAACGTAAAACCATTGTTATATCAATAAATATATAAATAAAATTGCGTACAAAATATTTAGATTTGGCATTAAATTACGCATAGAGATGTTGATTGAAAAACATACAACCAATTATGAGCGTGTTTGAATTAAGGTATTATGAGCTTGGGTGGTGAAATGTAAAATGGCTCGGAATTGTTAATTGGAGAGTTGAGTTCTAATTCCAATTGGCTTCATTATATTCACTTACGCGCAAATACCCTTGAGAAGGGCATGAATCTATCTCTTCTCCTCCCAGCTATGGGTTAATTAGTAAGAGTAATATCACTAAAACCATTGTTATATCAATAAATATATAAATAAAATTGCGTACAAAATATTTAGATTTCGGCATTAAATTACGCATAGAGATGTTGATATACCGCTAAACAAAAACATACAACCAACCATAGATGGGTGACCGTGTTTGAATTAAGGTATTATGAGCTTGGATGTGTGGGTGGTGAAATGTAAAATGGCTCGGAATTGTTAATTGGAGAGTTGAGTTCTAATTCCAATTGGCTTCATTATATTCACTTACGCGCAAATACCCTTGAGAAGGGCATGAATCTATCTCTTCTCCTCCCAGCTATGGGTTAATTTAAGAGTAATATCACTAAAACCATTGTTATATCAATAAATATATAAATAAAATTGCGTACAAAATATTTAGATTTCGGCATTAAATTACGCATAGAGATGTTGATATACCGCTAAACAAAACATACAACCAACCATAGATGGGTGACCGTGTTTGAATTAAATTATGAGCTTGGAAAATGTAAAATGGCTCGGAATTGTTAATTGGAGAGTTGAGTTCTAATTCCAATTGGCTTCATTATATTCACTTACGCGCAAATACCCTTGAGAAGGGCATGAATCTATCTCTTCTCCTCCCAGCTATGGGTTAATTAGTAAGAGTAATATCACTAAAACCATTGTTATATCAATAAATATATAAATAAAATTGCGTACAAAATATTTAGATTTCGGCATTAAATTACGCATTAAATGTTGATATACCGCTAAACAAAAAACATACAACCAACCATAGATGGGTGATGTTGATATAAAAAATGGCCGGAATTGCTAAACTAAAATTGGCTTCATTATACAACCAACCAAAGAAATCTATCTCCTCCTCCCCTATGGGTTAATTAGGATTATCCTAAAAACCATTGTTATATCAATAAATATATAAATAAAATTGCGTACAAAATATTTAGATTTCGGCATTAAATTACGCATAGAGATGTTGATATACCGCTAAACAAAATCATACAACCAACCAAAGAAACTACCTCACCTAAGGATTACCAACAGCTGCAACAACTAAAGCGAATAGCACATGTAACTCGAAGGGAAAATAATTATATAATCAAGATGTAGACGTTTCACACAACTTAATAAAAAATTAGGTAGGAAACCCTCATTAATATTGGACAGAGCGAAGAGTGAGCTTGAGAAACTTATTGTTTTTTAAGAAGGATTTTATAAATGTCATCCCAAAGCAGTAATGGTCAATGAATGCCAAATATTTTCTTATAGGGAAACGGCTAACACTACCATTAATATTCAAAATGGATGGCATATTCTAAAAGTAAACAACCTAACTTAATATGTCTTTCGGATTGGGTAAGGGTTAACGAAGATAATCTGCATTATTTACATTGTTCGGACTATTGTCCTCATCTTTGTCACCATATTTATTACAACGTTTCGGCCGTTGTACGCTCCGGCCTTCTTCAGGTGGTTGGAATGTCGAACTTAACCCTTTATTTCGCTCATTGGGGTAGACTGTTCTAGTTCCACGTGCCATGTCTAATGGGATGTCAGTTATCAGTTATCTCTTGCTTAAGTCTATCTCCAAGTTCTCCACCGCCTTAACCAGGTATTGAACTCACACTATTTGGGTCCTGTCAAGGGATTTAACACTTTTATCATAATGCCTCATCTCAGAAATATAGACAGATACTGAAGATAATATAATCATTACTACTGAACCGTGAGTTTGATCCTCACTGGGTATCCCTTACAAAAAGAATTTTGTAAAATCAATTACCACCACCCCCAATAATAAAGAAATGTCAAACACGAAACTTACGATTGTATTGTTCTGTTAATGGGGGGCAATGCATATCTGTATCCTTGTGTTATCTTACTCTGTCCATATCTCGATGTGCATCAGTGTTTATCAGGCTAAACTCGCCCAGCATTGTGCCAGTAATTAATTCTATTCACGCCTGTTTATTCACGTGTAACTCATAGCACACAAAGCTCTGTAAATATCTATATAGCTGATCGTTGACGCGTTTCTTGCACGCCACGGGACTTGCTAGGCAGGCCATGTCATTCTCCTTGAGACAGCAGAATACCCAAGCAAATGTTCTACGGCAAGTTGCCCTGTAACACACGACCCCATCATAAAACAAGGGAACACATCAATGATTCTTTAATAGCGTTCCTTTCGGTCTGTTATATAGAAGATCCCCACGTGCGGAAACTAATAATTGTGATCGAAATAAGTTGAACGTTGTATGGGGCACTCAGTGTAGATGCAAATCCCTACTCTGTAGTAATGGTCAACGAGACGTCTGTACGCATTGGTGCAGATGAAATCAATCATTCTCATCTTATACTCCTACAATTATATTTAAAAAAAACGTTCCTAGTTAAAACTGTTTACCACCTAGTACCACCCAGTGAGCATCTGTTTTTTTTTCCGGAAGGTAGCATTTTATTGATAAGAATGACACAAATTGTTTAAACAACAAATTAATGTTAAGCAATAAATATATTTTGCTAATCTAGATTATTCACCATTGCCGCACACTAAGGCATCTGTTGATGTCTCTCCTAGGCCATATACCGAGAAACTCTGTCTTAGATCAATATGAAGATTTTTCTTTCTTGGTATAAAGTATACTTGAAAACAGCTAATATAACATTGTAAATACCTATATGTATTTTCGGCTTTTCTTAGATATCATTATCATTGTTGCCCAACAAACATCCATGGCTATATCTTTAATGTGGCGAACGCGCGTCAGAACAGACGAAAAAGAGGACCCGGATCGCGTGCAGATATGTTTGTCAACACCAGTTACACCCGGGTTTTGTTTTTTGTTTTTTTTCTCGTTAGCAGCGGCACAGACTGGCATGTCTAGATACTGGCCTCACTGAAACTGGTAAAGATCCAAGTCTTTGTAAGATGTCCTGTTTCAATAAAAGTACGTGGAAAACCAGGCGTTAGCAGTTGTTAAGACACAGTGCCTTGCGAAGTCGGTCCCGTGGCTATTTTTGTTCCTCAAGTTGATGTGTTACCTCCCGTCACTTCCCCCTCTCCACCGATTACCCCCGTTGCTTGGAGAGGAATCGGTTATGTGTTTCTACCCAATCTCAACACACTCTTCACTTACATTAGAACATACAAACCTTTAGCATTAGTTGATGTATATACATGATGGTTGGCTTCGCTTGGTTAAGGTGCGTCGTGTCCAGTTAATGTCAGTTAGATAAAGACAAATTTTAGAACTTTTAATTTTGGAGAACAAAGCAAAATAGAACCATTGCTAATTTTAGTCTTGCTGGAGATTATTTGTCCCCAAGTGATATAGATTTATCAGATAGATTTTGTGAAAGAAAAAAACTAAAGATGTTCCTTGATTTGGACTTCGTAAAAGATACCGGCACAAAAAAATGGGATCTTTATAATCAGAAAGAATATAAATCGTGTTATCTAAGGGAACATTACAGATGCAGAATAGTGCATCTTCTCACTTCTTCAACTTATGCAGCAAAACGATTCCAAAAGAACTAGAAGTCCTACCAGGATTTATTACTAACAGACAAAACCCTAACATAAGACACGCTGAAGACAACATGTTAATAAGAAAGTGAGAAGAAAGGATCAATCATCAATTAAGTTCATTAGCAAAAGGGAGACCCTAAGATGCCAGTTACAATTTGGAGACGGCAAACACAAGCAAGTACAGAAACTATCTGGTAAAGCTGAACTACATCGGAATAGTGAAAGATGCTTTCCAAATGTTAAACAATGTTTTAAGAAACAGGAAAATGTTTCTAGACACATAGAAAAGAGCGCTGAACTCCGCATTTCACCACCCACACATCTAAGCTCATAGCACCTTAATTCAAAAGTGGTCACCCATCTATGTACTGACAATGCTCGACATTGCTTAACTTTGGTGAATGTACAGAAACCGGTGGTTCAATGTATACGGCCGTAAATGCTGCCACCCTCACATCCAAGATTCCAACATCTGGTAATTACAAGCGATCTTCAATCTACGTAGTGACAAGGCTCGACGTTGCTTAACTTCGGTAATAGTACATGAACCAGCATTTCAACGTGATATGGACTTAAGTCATGCAACCCGCACACCCAAGCTTACAGCATTTAATATTTCCAAGCGGTCACCCAAACAGGCTCAACTTTGCTTAACTTCTGTGATCGTAAGAAAAGTGTTGTTCCAACATCATATGGCCTTAAAACCTAAGCATACAACACCTGGTATTCCTAATGCTGCCAACCCATCGAGGGACTGACCAGGCTCGACGTTGCTTAACTTCGGTGATCGTACGGGATCACGTCCGAGCGTGATATGGCCTTAAGCCATGACACCCGCACACCGAAACTTATAACACCCGGTATTCCTAATGCTGCCAACCCATCGAGAGACTGACCAGGCTCGACGTTGCTTAACTTTGGTGATCGTACGCGATCATGTTTCAACGTGATATGGCCTTAAGCCATGATGCCCCCACACACAAGCTTACAACACCTGATATTCCTAATGCTACAAACCCATCGAGGGACTGACCAGACTCGACGTTGCTTAACTTCGGTGATCGTACGGAATCACGTTTGAGCGTGACATGGCCTTAAGCCATGCCACCCGCACACCCAAATTGATAACACCTGGTATTCCTAATGCTACCAACCCATCGAGTGACTGACCAGGCTCGACATTGCTTAACTTATGTGATCGAATGTAAACCGGTGGTTAAACGTGATATGGCTGTAAGCTATGCCACCCGTACATGCAATCTTACAACACCTTGGATTCTCAAGCGGTCACCCATCCATGGACTGACCAGTCAAGAAACAGGAAAATGTTACTAGAGACCTAGAATTCAGGGATGAACTTCTCTGTAATCTTTTCAATCTTTATATATGGAAACAAGTGTAGATAATATCCCAATAGATGAAAAAGAGATTTGAGACAAGTGTGATTTGGTTCAGCAAAAGAATGCTGTGAATTCAATGGACGGAAGATGTAAACAACGACGACGTTTTAGAGAAAATGGTAACGAAAATGCCCCTTGTTGTTAGGATCAGGAAAAAGTAGTTGAAATTTCTGGGACACATAAAGTGATTAGATGTCTTGGAGATACGAAGGATAGAAAGTTGCGAAGAACCATGATCGCTCACATCTCGAAGGTGTACGGCACATGGAAGAAGAATAACTGTACCCTACCTCCCCACTTCCATGACATTTTTCCTCATTGACCTCGTACCATGACCTTTTCGTCCGTGCTCCATTAGATCTGTTCACTCCCTCCCCCTAGATCAGTACTACGTACTCTGGGGATTCCAAGTGTTCTTAGACTAGCAAAAGTCCACAAATATGGAGGACTTGATTTTCACTGAAGTCCTCCATATTTGCCAGTCTAAGAACACTTGGAATTCTCAAAATATGTGTATGCTTTTTCTTTTCTTTTTTTAATCATTTCATTCCAAGCAAGGCAATAAAGCCACTAAGACGCAAGGAGTTACTGAGCGTGAAAGAATTAGAAAAAGAAAAACATAAATAAGGAATGAGAATAATAAAAGAAGACGACAAAGGCCGGAAACCGTATCGGTTGAAAATGAGTAGATTCTAATGTTTTTATTAATCATTTCACCCCAAACAAGGCGAGGATGCCACAAGAACGTAAGGGGTTTAGGAATAATTACTATTTTTACCACTTACCAGACATATGACTAAAAGTGATAGTAAGGTCACCTACCCGCTCCTTCAGCATATACGGTTGCATGTCTGGATTTTGTCGAATTATCTTCAGGTTACCGTTTTTTCTTTTATTGCTGTCTGCCTGTTCATCTGTTGCTGAAGGTGCTTCCTTATAGCCATGAAGAAAGAGGCCGCAGAGTGTGAAATATATTTTCTAAACCAAAACTTCTAAAATAATTTTGAACTCTATCAAGACTGGAACGTGAGGTTTGAGCCGCTGCCGCTCAGAGCGTAAGGCACAATAAAGTTTTGAGATAACAGCCTCACTGAAAAACTATTTATTTATTTTTCTTTAATTGAAGATTTTTTTTAAATTTCTTAAAATATCAAAATAAAATATTGTTAAAAAATATTTATTTATGAATAACTAAAACGCGCCCTGAATCATACTTATTATAAAACCCAGGTTGTGTGTGTGTGTGTGTTTGTGTGTGTGTGTGTGTGTTTCGTTTATATATTAGATCGGATTTCCTACATTTTTCAACCGATTTCAACAAAAAAAAAAAGTCGCAGGACTATGTAAAATTACCTTGCGATGGTTCTGACAACGTCAAAAATTGTAAAAACAAAATTGTTTTTGCACGAAATCAAATTGAAAACACGATTAAGAGGCATCACTGTCGCCAGAATGAAAGGGGGACAACTCATATCGAGTTATACTTATAAAACCCAGGTTGTTTGTGTGTGTGTGTGTGTGTGTGTTCGTTTATATATGGGATCGGATTTCCTACATTTTTCAACCGATTTCAACAAAACTTCACTTTTTTTTGGCAGGTAGTGTTTCCTATTGTCTTGCACACTTTTTTCTTTATTTTTACATTCAGAATGCTTTAAAAATTCCATTTACAAGACAATTGTTTATAATAAAATTCTATTCAATCGGTAGACTCATAACGATTGAAAACAATGCTTTTTTTGAGTTTGGGTTTGACCAATTCGTAAAAAAAAAAAAATAAAAAAAAAATAATTAAGACATGCGTGTCCGTCAACCTTAAACAATAATCTTTGTCAATTTTATTTTTCAGTCTTTATGATAGTCGATACTTGATCTATATCTTACTGTTACATCCCCGGGCAACGCCGGGCTCTCCTGCTAGTATATTATACTATTATTCATTAGGCATCGAATAATTACCATCTCTACCTCTTACCGATTTTCAGTTCGATGACTAAGAGTGTTCGTAGGGTAACTGACGAGCCCCTTCCTCGGCTGAATGTTAATGTCTGGATTTTGGGGAATGATCTTCAGGTTCAATAAGTGACGTTGACAAACAGTTTTTTCTTTTTCTTTTTTTGCTGTCTCCCTCTTTAAAAGATTGTTGACGAAATATGAGAAAAACCAAAAAATATATAATTTTCTATCCAACATTAAGGTAATCGATTAGATCTCACCTGAACATGTGCCATGGATATAGCGACAGGTTAGCAATAGACGTGAGGAAAGAGGTTGCAGAGTGGGAAATAAATTTTCTAAACTGCGTAAATGATTTTGAACTCTACTAAGGCTGGCACATGAGTTTTGAGCTGCTGCACCGAGCATTACATAGAGTGAAAATGAATGATAATAAAACTAAAAATGGGGAAGAGGAAAAGACAAATCAAAGAAACAGTTTCAAGAATGGCAGAAGGTTGACTTGCATCTAAATATTTGATGATTGTAGTTGACAGGGAAGCAAGAAATCTGAAGGGATTTCCACAGGTGGGAAGTGCGAGAAAAGAAACTGTTAGAACCATGGGACTAATTTCTGCCATAGCAACCATGCTTCTTTATATCCAAGGGCGTTTATAAATATCCACTTAACAATTTACCATTTGATAGCGAAGGGAAAATAGCCAACGCGCATCGCAAGCGTGTGGGGAGGGAACCATTTTCCTATTGACTCGACCTGTGCGAGACATCGGTAAATTTGAGCAAGTTAAGCAGCAATGGAGAAGGAGAATTATCGAAATTAGACAATAATGGGATTTGTCTTCGTGGCTGGTTTAATTTTTCAGTGTCTCGAAATTTCTGTTTATCCGTTCGATGCGATGTCGTAATTGGCTCGGCAAATCGCTGTCTGCAGAAACCGCACGCCCAGGCAAAATTAGCAATCTCCCCCTTCAATCTCCGGACCTCCCCAGATTCTGTCAATTTATCAACATCTTCCGTTTACTTCTCCTCCTCCTCCTCCTACATCTTTTCAGTACCTTTATTACGCGCTATATCAGTGTCGTCGTCAACATCGTCGGGTTTTATCGACTAAATTTATGATTATTATTATTAGCATAATACCCGTAAAAATGAGAGGATTATTTACATGTAGTCTGGCACATATACCCTGGCTCAGAACATCTGTGATTATTGTCTAGGATTCCTTGAATCATTATGATAGATAGATAGATAGATAGATAGATAGATAGATAGATAGATAGATAGATGTAAACATGTTTGTGATAGATAGATAGATAGATAGATAGATAGATAGATAGATATGAACAGGCTTGTGATAGATAGATAGATAGATAGATAGATAGATAGATAGATAGATAGATAGATAGATAGATGTAAACATTTTTGTGATAGATAGATAGATAGATAGATAGATAGATAGATAGATAGATAGATAGATAGATAGATATTTTCGTCGAATTATGTGCACACAGTTCAAGAAAATGTTCCACTGAGCAAGAGTTAAAATTCTCCTCTCTGGTTCAAATATCCAAAGATCTTAAATAATAATAAAAAAAAAAAACAATTCAAATAAAACACGTATTTTCTTTTTGGAGTTCTTAAGAATGTAAAGAATATTTCCAAAGATCCACTGGATTACAAATCGACCATTTTCTTAATCATTTACCGAGAATTTACTGAGAAAGCCAAGCCAATGTAAAACATTTGAATGCACAAAAGAGACGTTTATCCGAAAAAGAATCCATTTAGCCAGTATGGAGGCAAGGAGACAGGTGCATAGAACAGGATTCAGTGGCGTGTGCAATAGATCAAAAAATGAAGGAACTCTTCAAGGTGAAGAATATGGTAAAAGACGTGCGGCGACGTAAATAAAGAATCGCAGTGAGTTTCCTTTTCACGTTCCTCCAGGCTTTTTTTTTTCTCAGCCAGCCGAGCATGATAAAACGTAGAAGTCTGTGAAATTCTATGAAATCTATGAAACTGAGTTTGATAAATAAACAACGACAGCCGACTTTAATCCTGGGCTATTATCTGACTGCTTTCATTCAACTTGGCGCAAATGTTCAACGTAAAGACTTTAAAATCGGTTAATGGATTTTTTTTTGTGTGTGGAGAAGGGGGGAAATTGGCACAGGACTAGAGAGAAGTTGTTTTGTAGAAGTGACCTGGACAAAGATGTAGTTAGTTAAGATCCTGTTCCAAAAGTTTTACGTTATATTAAGTTCCCCTTTTCACTTGATGCTCTAAACACGTGATTATTCTGCTTGATGTTTCATCCAGCACTGAGTATACAAAGAGAGCCTAAAACTTTTTTCCACTAATCGCCAAGACTCCATGTTACCATACTTAACGCGCATATGTATGTGGGAATGAAATTCTTTTAATTACTTAAGGCACCAAAGTCGTTTAAATGCTTAGGGGAAACATATTTTTAAGGGCATCGAATTCTTTTAAGTGATTAGGGTATCAAAATTTTAAATCCTTAGCGCACCAAAATCTTTTTTATGCTTAGGGCACCAAAATACTTTCAAGTGCTTAGAGTACCAAAATCTCTTAAGGCCATTAACGTTTTTAATTGCTTAGGGCACCAAAATCCTTTAAGGGTATCGACTTTTTTTAAGTGTTTAGGGCACTAAGCTCTTTAAATACTGAGAGTACCAAAATGTTTTAAGTGCTTAGGGAACCAAAATCTTTTAAGGGCATCAACTTCTATCAATTGCTTAGAGCATCAAAATCTTTTAAAGATATAGGGCATCAAATTCTTTTAAGTGCTTAGAGCGCCAAAATTTTAAAGGATTAGAGCACCAACATCTTTTAAGTATGCAGGACACCAAATACTTTTAAGTGCTTACGGTAGCAAAACCTTTTAAAGGCATGGAGCATGAAATTCTTTTATGTTCTTAGGGCACCAAAATCTGTAAATGCTTAGAGCACCAAAATCATTTAAGCGCTAAGGGCACCAAAATCTTTTAAGGAAATCAACTTCTTTTAGATGCTTAGGGAACCAAAATCTTTTGAGGGCATAAGGCATCAAATTCTTTTATGTGCTTAGGACACCAAAATCTTTTAACGTACGTAGGGCATCAAATTCTTTTTGTGTTTAGTGAACTAAAAATAAGCACATTTACATTATTCGGACTATTGTCCTCATCTTTGTCGCCATACTTATTACAACGTTTCGGCCATTGAACGCTCCGGTCTTCTTCAGGTGTTTGGAATGTCAAACTGAACCATTTATTTCGCTCACTGGGGTAGACTGTTCTAGTTCCACGTGCCATGTTTAATGCATGTCAGTTATCAGTTATCTCCTGTAAATTTCCCTCTGAAAGTACTCCACTGCCTTAACCGGGTATTGAACTCACACTCTTTGGATCCTGTCACTGGATCTTACCAACAATACATGGCACAGTGGATAAAGGCGTTGGTTAGATCCAGTGAGAGGGCCCAAAGAGTGTGAATTCAATACCCGGTTAAGGCAGTGGAGAACTTGGAGCGGGAAATTAACAGGAGATAACTGATAACTGACATCCATTAAACATGGCACGTGAGACTAGAACAGTCTACCCCAGTGAGCGAAATAAAGTGTTCAGTTCGACATTCCAACCACCTGAAGAAGGCCGGAGCGTACAACGGCCGAAACGTTGTGATAAATATGGCAACAAAGATGAGAACAATAGTCCGAATATTTTAAATAGTGTACATAATAGCTCATCTCAGAAATATAGACAGATATCAAATAGACATTAGAAAATGCAAAGGTGCCAGATTGGATGGATGTATTGGCCTGAAGCTATGTTTTTGAATAATCCCTTGAAGAATTCAGAAATGATTAGTGATTAAACTTACTGCATTATGCTTTACGTATCTCAATTGGCATCGTTTCAAATCACTGAAACCAGTGGCTTCAGGGTTGATGTCGCTATATTATCTACTGGGGCGCCGTTTTCTTGGTTGGAGAAAAGCATATAGGACAGTTTCAGTCTTCAATGAAGATCTTTAATGAAAAAAAATAAAACCATAAAAAAATAAAAATAAAAATCGAACACAAATCAGAAAATGAAAAACTGCGTCACCAAAGTATGTCAGACATATTGACGAATGGAAGGCGTATTAAAAAGGGGAGTTAATGCAGACTTCAAAAACTGGGTAATTTTGTCGAAAAATTCTCAATGCATTCGTAATTCGACTTACTTTCCAGAATAGAGCCTTCGATAAACATTTTCAAAATAAATTGTTCGCATTCAAAATTTTCTGCCATTTCTTACTGAGGTAATTTATGTAAATTCTCTCTGTATTATTGGAAGTCATGAATCATCACTCAGACAAACTACGTCTAAATACGTTTTCAAGAACAAATAAAAGCCGTTCGACGCTGATAGGCTATGAAAATAGTTATAACTGATTACGCGATTGAAAGAATTAACTATACCAAATTCGTTGAAATTAAGTTCCAATAAAACAAAAACATCTTTCGATATAAAAATATTAAAATAATTCATGAAGACGTTACTCTGTCAAAGGCTTTAAAATGAACGTCTTCAATGGTGGGAGGTAAGTTTAAAAAGGAACATTCTCAACAGTGCGAGCTAAACTTAAATGGAACATTCTCAACGGTTGGAGGTAAGCTTAAAAATGGACGTCCATGACTGTGGGAGCTAATCTTAAAAATGGATGACTTTCATTTTTAAGCTTACCTCCAACTGTTGATGACGTTTCTTTTTATCTTCACCCCCCACTGTCGAGAAAACATTCCCTATCGAGCTTAGCTTCCTCTGCCGAAGCCGTTCCCTTTGAAGCTTAAAATTGTATAAGACACTCTATTTTAAGTTTAGCTCTCAGTACCGAAGACGTTATCTTTTAAGCTTAGATTCCAGTGTCAAAGACATTCACTTATAAACTTAGTTCCCATTGACGAAGATGTTCCCTTTTAAGCTTAGCTCCCACTGACGAGGACGAGGACGTTCCCTTTTAAACTTAACTTACATTGTCGAAGACGTTTCTTTTTAAGCTTAGCTCCCAGTACCGAAGACGTTTCTTTTTAAGCTTAGCTCCCACTGACGAGGACGTTTCTTTTTAAGCTTAGCTCCCAGTACCGAAGACGTTTCTTTTTAAGCTTAGCTCCCCCTGTCTAGGATGTACGTTTTTAAGCTTAGCTACCACAGTCCGCCAGCATTTTTAAGAATACCTTATTCGTTGATTATTTCAGTATTTTAATATGTTGCTTTGTTTTATATAAGGAGAATCAATTCACCCAAAAGCAAGACGATAATGTCACCAAGACCCAAGCGGATACTGGGAGTCAAAAGAAGCAAAAGACTTTAGAAAGAACCGGAAATCGAACCCTAAACTGGAAACAAGAGATTGCTGACTTTAATCGGTTCCATTGGGAACAGTACTTGCTCGATCTCGTAATACATAACTCTCTTCCAATCCCAACATATACATAGCAGATTTTTTTTTTTTTTTTTTTTTTTTTTTTTGAAGTGTTTAACGCTGGGACATTTCGTTTTCCCTAGGAATTTATTAGCTCATAAGTGTTGTAAGCAGTTCATTTTACCATCGCTTCTTTTTTTTCTTTTTCACTCCAAGCAAGGTAATGATGCCACTATGGCACAAGGGACTACTGTGAGTGAAATGAAATGAGAAGATTTTAGAAGAGACAGGAAACTCAATCTTGAACAGGAAATAAGGGATAAATTTTTACCCCGTCTCAAAAAAAAAAAAAAAAAAATACTAAGAGGGGATGTGAACCAGACGATAAGCGAACGTCTCTACACCAATTCAGAAAAAATAAATAAGTAAATCATACTTATTATAAAACCCAGGTTTTTGTGTGTGTGTGTGTGTGTGTGTGTGTGTGTGTGTGTGTGTGTGTGTGTGTGTGTGTGTGTGTGTGTGTGTGTGTGTACGTTTATATATTGGATCGGATTTCCTACATTTTTCAATTGATTTCAACAAAACTTCACAGGACTACGTAAAATTACCTTGCAGTGGTTCTGACAACGCCAAAAATTGTAAAAACAAAATTGTTTTTGCACGAAGTCAATTTGAAAACACGATTAAGAGGCATCGCGAGAATGACAGGGGGACAACTCATATCGAGTTATACTTATTATAAAACCCAGGTTATTTTTTTTTGTGTGTGTGTGTGTGTTCGTTCGTTTATAGATGGGATCGGATTTCCTACATTTTTCAACCGATTTCAACAAAACTTCACTTTTTTTGGTAGGTAGTGTTTCTTATTGTCTTGCACACATTTTTCTTTATTTTTACATTCAGAATGCTTTAAAAATTCCATTTACAAGACAATTGTTTATAATAAAATTCTATTCAATCGGTAGACTCATAACGATTGAAAACAATGTTTTTTTTGAGTTTGGGTTTGACCAATTCGTAAAAAAAACAAAAAAAAAATAAAAATAATTAAGACATGCATGTCCGTCAACCTTAAACAATAATCTTTGTCAATTTTATTTTTCAGTCTTTACGATGGTCGATACTTGATCTATCTCTTACTGTTACATTCCCGGGAAACGCCGGGCTCTACTGCTAGTTGAAAATAAAGCATAAATTATTGCGTGCTTATGGTTTCGTTTCCCCTGTCCGGTTCAATATTTTATTTAAGCATTTCACCCCAAGCAACGCGAGAGTGACACTAGCACGCAAGGGGTTACAGAAAGTGAGAGCAAGAATAAAGAGGCGTGATTGAGGAAAGGATGAAGAGAAGGTAGGGGAATTATATCACTCATCACAAGATGTCGATTAACATTGTATTTGAATAATTGAAGAATATAGCTACCAAGGAAGCAAGTAAGAGGAAGGGAGT